GTCGACAGAAAAACCAAAACCAAAGAGTTAGGAATGAATAAGTAAAGTTGTACGAATTTAATAAAAAAATTGTAAAAATATATTAACAATATAAAAACAAAACAAAAATAAGTTAAACTTTTCATTTCGACCGGATTCTCATGAGCATTCACGAACCAAGTAAGCTTTGGAGCGCTGAAACTTCGATTTAAATGAATGAAATAAAAAAAAATATAGGGAAAAATTTTCCTCAAAATATCACCTACAAGATTGCTCAGCAGTATTTTTTTTTGTAACATGTGTAAAAAAAGTTATAGAGCAAAACAGAATTTTTTTATAAAAAATTCTCACTTTTTTGCTTATAACTTCTTTAATTTTTAATTTAGGGCAAAAAGTAATGTAAACATATTTGTAGGCGAAATAATTTGCTACAAATTATGACATTACAAATTTTTTTTAAGACGCATAATTTCCGAGATATTGCGAAAAAAGTGTTTTCACTCCTTTTTCCAAGATGGCGGCCGGGGGACAAGGGTGGCGACCCCACAAACTTGAGGTTAAGCTTCCATTGACCCCCCACACATGTCCCAAAAATAAAATTGCGTCCTCTAAGAAATACAATATTCGGTCCTTAAATTGTAACATTTCAATGGACTACATGATTTATGCGTCTTTTGTTTTATTATCGTGAAACTCTGTGGGTGTTGATGGCACTTCCGGGAAGCTTTTTGTCTAAAGTGTCATCAACGTGCACATATTCACACATTTCAAATATAAATTACTATACAATTATTTAATATAAATACACTTTTTTATGATTAAGAGATTACTGGTGGCCCCGAGGCCTTTTCAGTTTTCCCAGGACAGGTGGGATAAATAAACACACCCTATGATATATTTATGACGTAATAAATATCCAACCTTCAATCTAAGCGAAAATCTGCTACTGAAATAATTATTACTTACATTTGCCTGTTTATCATTTTATTTAATTTAATCGTAGGTAGAGAAAAAAATCCCTCCAACTATTCCTTCAACGCTTACTTAAAGCAAATTTTGAAGAGCATTCACTGTTGAGGGGTGCTTGCATTCTATGATGTACTCATTCGATACTAGCCTTCAATGCAGAGATTTAAGGTCTATTTCAGTATATCTTGGTATAAACGCAAGGGCCTATTGTTTTTCTTTGTGACATGCTATCGAGTGTTCTTGATGACGGCTCTATGTAGGCGATTTAACGGCACGTTTCCATTTAGCAAGAATCATATTTTTATTTCTACCATTTATTTAGGTAATCTTACAAATTAATGGTTTGAATAATTATAGATTTGTATTTCCCTACCTATTCACTGGTAGCCTAGGGTTCAAGCTTCGCGTGGACGGGCGTAGATGAGCTCACAGTGTCAACCTGAGAGAATTTGCTAACACTAGACCTAGTAAGAACAGTGCTTCATTGAATCTATCGCGGTATCCGAATCGCGCCTCACTGAAAAGATCCGGCGAGAAACTCTGTGGGCTGTGTCTATAGGTTGAGGAGTATTTAGTCGTAGCTTCCCTATGGTCGTAACATAATTTTCGGATATCGAATGTTTAGGCTTCCCCGTCCTGGCCGAGCCTATGCTCGCTTATCTAAATATATAAATAGTTAGATTAGTGTCAACAACCAGTACGATATGTACTCCTTACCGCCACGGTACAGTTTTTGGACAAAAACTAATCGTATATCAATGGACACGAGCCACAGCGTATATTGACTAGAAATTCCTGAAGAGGAAACGGAAGCTATGTTCGATATCGAGAGCTTCAATAGCCACTACAGACGCCTTCGTTCATTCAATTATTTTAATGTCAGAACGTGTGGTTACAATCGTGGGTACAATCAAAGCAAATCGAAATTGATTTAATATTATCAATTCAAATTTATTTTTATTGGTTTGATGGGTGGATGAGCTTACAGCCCACCTGGTGTTAAGTGGTTACTGGAGCCCATAGACATCTACAACGTAAATGCGCCACCCATCTTGAGATATAAGTTCTAAGGTCTCAAGTATAGTTACTGTTACTATTTCCACTGGGATCGAGTTTTAAGCTGCATTATAAGTGTTCACAATGTTGACACTGTTTGTCCGTGTCACGCCGTGTCCCGACACTTGACCTTGAACTTGCGAAACGTTCAAGAGCGAGGATGTGCCAAAACGGGGGGCAGTGAATTGGCTAATGGCCCAAATTGTCCTGTCGGCTCTTCCTTCGTAATTTCTGTCATATTAAATGAAATGATTTACCGTCGTGTCTTCATAATGACGCACTACGAAAAAGAACTGCGGAGAAGGATCGATGGTGTTAATAGAGAGTTTTTTTTTATTGCTTAAATGGGTGGACGAGCTCACAGCCCACCTGGTGTTAAGTGGAGTGAGATCGTCCACCCATCTAAGCAATAAAAAAATATAGGAATAGTAAAATAGGAAAGCTATATTCTCAAAATGCGCCGTTCAATGCAAACCTAAAGCCGAATGCGTTTAGCCAACCATTGGTTTTTCTAGAGTTCAGAAAAGGTAGAAATGAAAATTTTATAGCGACATCTATCGGCGTATAGAAAATCTAACAAAACCTGACTCGCGCTCATAAAAATTTCAAGAAAAAGTGCACTTGAAAGTTTTAGTGTTGGCCGGATGTATTATAGCCTGGGCGGGTCGATGCCACCGTCAAGCTCCTTGCAAGGGGGAATTAATCTCCGTCGTAGGATTTGCAGGCCCATTCACGTTGAAATTAAATAGCGGCATCGCCTCTTCTAAAACGGTACGAGCGAATACGGACCTGCCCTTATAACACAAACACAAAATTATCGTGTTGAATTTTTCAACTACAATTTCCTCACACGCGAATGCATCCTGTTTGTCGGGAAAGTGATGACCACGTGGTGCGCTTCGTTTTATTTGACAAATCTGTATGCTTAGTTTTCTAACGTAGCGATGTAGTATCTACATAATACCAGTGTGCTTAGTGCGAGTTTCTTAACATTCTCGATAGCGTAAAAGTTAACTCAAATTTGTATGGAATTGGAACGTTTGCCTACGTTTGCCGCTAGGGGCGCTGTTCGAACTGGGTACGGGTAAACTTTTACGCTATCGAAAACGTTAAAAAACTCGCACGTAACTTATTACGTATATAATGTGTGGTGGAAGTGTCGCCGATTCGCTTCACGAGTTCGGGATGAGTAAAATTCTACTATTTTACTGAAAGGCCGATGATAATTAATTTGAAATGTTGACGGCTTTCCGATACCCGAAGTTCAAAGAGAGGAAAACGGTCAACTCTCGAAATTTACCTTAAAAACTTCGTGTACTTTTAACCCGACTCTGGCGACAATAGACTCGTTAGAAGTCGATTGCCTTGTGTATTGTGCATAAGTAATAATCATAAAGAGCCAATGAAGTTTTGCTTTAAAAAAAAACCGGGCTGTTATGCTATATTACGATGACGCCGTCTTTCTTGACGATGCGGCTTTAATGACGAATTTCGTCGGTAGAAATGTGAATAATTTAACCTATTTTCACGATGAGCGATCTCCTGTGAAACATCTACGTTAACCAGTCATATTCTCTGTTCTGAGAAATTGCTACCTATATGCGAGATACGGACTCTTTTACCCTCTTTTTTTTTTTCTTTTTTTGCAATATCAAGGACTTTTTTAAGCGCAGATTTTTAGTTACTCAAAAACTCACACTACCTACTCTTCGCAACTCTAACCGAACGAAAAGAATACGAGTAACTTTTGCATTAGTGTCGAGACTACTTTCAGACCGAATGAAATAATTCAAGGAATGCGCATCACAGTCCACCAAAACACCACATCACAAAAGCGTCAACGAGTCGTCTTTAAATTTAAAATATTCAGTATTCGAATATATCGATCGGGAAAACGGAGGTTCTGACAGTTTTCCGATTTTTTTGTACATCTCTCTTATCTCTCCATTTTGTTTTCTTCGAGTTGGCAATTCGGCTGAGCCGGTTGGTTGACTGATTTCTAATCGTGCTGCTTCTGCTTGGGCCAAGGTTTACGAATGTCTATACAACACGGTATTGGCTCCAAACGCGATGCTCAGTAAGTTTCCTATCTGACGGAAGGTAACCGTTGCACTCTTCTGTTTCTTACTTCATAGATGTTGTTAGTCTATATGTCAAATTAGAGATGTTTATATCATTCTCAAGTCGCTTTTCATCGCCTGTCTCAGTTAGACTTTTTTTAGTCGCTTAAACTCCAACATGCCCCGGTTGTCGTGCCTAAAACGTAGCTTGAAGTTTATTTCGGTGATTTCCTAGTGATTCGAAAAAATAATGTATGAATTTTAGAAGGGACTACGAGATTTCATGCACTTCGAAAATTTACTATATTGTAAATTCTCAGTTTTATAGTAAAACAGTTACCTTACCCTTCAAACTGAAACGCATAACTGCTTCACAGCAGAAATAGGTGGGGTGGTAATGGTACCTACCCGTTCGGGCTCACAAAACGCCCTACCATCAATCACTACACAAATTGCGGGTTTTGATGTTGATTACGCGATGCTATTCCTCCATCGGAAGTCATTCGTGAACATGTGTTAAGCACGTATTTCATTAGAAAAGCTAGTACCTGCCTGAGGAATTTAAACACTGAAATTATTGCATCGCTTAATACGAATGCACCGGGCGTCTTATCCTTTTAGGTCACAACAACTTTGTGAGAGGTTTTGTTGATATTTTCCAATAATCATCTGTATTTTCAGCAAATACCAATCATTTTACTAAGACTTAATTTCATCATATCTCATTGAATACATACATTCGCTTATCTCGTCTTACTTAATGCTGTCTTATTTTATCTTAAAATCAATTACATTTAATTTTACTTCTCATACAACATCAGGTTTCAACCGTTGTCAAAAAATATTTGGCAGCGCAGGCAATGTTCCTTTTGCCTGTTCAATGGACGATTACAGTAAAAAGTTGTTTGACAACATGACAGGTCCCGAAATTTTAAATTCAAAATAAACGTCTGTGATGAATTTGTAGAGATTTTCGGTTCTCTCCAATGTTAATAACATACATTTAAGCTATTTCAGACAAAAATGAACGCGTTAGATAAGCTTAGTGACAAGGAATTCATACCATTTCTCCGTACACTTGGGGTGGATACTCGAAACCAGTCATTTGAATGGATGCTAAACAATTCTGAATTTGCTTCAGCTTTAGAATGGATGTACTACCATTTAGACTATAATAACGTGTTAAGTGAAACAGAGAAACGAAGGTACTTATTTATCAAATATTATTTACGTTCGAAACATTCAACGGTCACAAAAAAATTATATAAAAATAAAAGAGACAATAAATAACTGTTTGAATCGGTGTTTGCAAATTAAAATATCACATTTACAGATTCGAAGAAATTCAAAAGCGGAATCTACACCAAGATAATGTTCTTTCACAAAATGAAGTTGATGAAAGCATCTCTTTGATTCAAAGTCAGTATCCTGGAATATGTCCAGGGGATGTAGATGCTTTAGCAGAGATGAAGCAGGACATAGAAATGCAAAGGGAAAAATTGAACTTACTGGCCAAACATGAGAGAATTGTCAAAGATCTGATAAAGCAAAAAGAGTATGTAAAGAGTACCATTTGTGGATATTTTTTTAATCAAATTTATATTGTGTAACTAACTGAAGCTTTCCAAAAGTCATAGATGTTAAAGAGAATAACTAGCACTATATTAAATTTTAAATAATAAAGACATATGAGGTCTATAAAATCAAAGGCAGCTAAATCCAAGTCTGTCAAATATTCAGGTAAACTACAAAAATCGGCCCTAAACACGTAATTACGGATCCTCCCGATCCATCGAAGTACTACTCTTGCTAGAGCCAGTGTTAGCAACACGCTAAAATAAAGTTGTTCGGATAACTAAGATATTCTTTATTTTAAAGCAGATTTATAAAGAATGAGAATATTACTAATAATCTGAATTTTAAATGATAAAACTTCGTTTATTAGTACTTAGTACAGAGTAAAAATAAAATTTTTGAACTGCATTTGTTATAACATGAAAACACTAAAGCGTGTCTAACTAACTAAACAAGATAGCGCCATTGTTAATCCATTTTACGACATTATGGCGTTTAGCTGCCTTTGATTTTATAGGCCTCATATATAGAAGTCTAAATATTGTATTGTACTATTTGTATTATATCATAGTTTGCTCTCTGCGTCTACAACTCCAACAGTTTATTACTATTTTTAGAGGTATAAATGAACAGCTTAATTTAGAAATCACAAAGCTAAATGCGGCACAGCAGCAAATCTCTCATGAAGAGAAGTCTCTAGCTCAAGAATGCATTAGGCTCGCTGATGAAGTGGAAGATATGACCAGCGCAGTTATTGAAGTGGTTGGCAACACAATGGATGTTTATGGGAACTGTGGTGAAAAGGTATAGCTTTAAAGTATTTAAAACACCAAATGTTTAGCAGTTTTCCTACCTCTCTCTCTATAGTATTCATATATCTTGGGATATCTCTTAAATCACTACATAGTATAAAACAATGTTGCTTTCTTTGCCCCTATGTATGCTTAAATCTTTAAAACTACGGAACGGATTTTGATGCGTTTTTTTTAATAGATAGAGTGATTGAAGAGGAAGATTTATATGTATAATAACATCCATTAAATAGTGGAGAAATCAATAATAAATTACAGTTTCCGAAGCGAAGCGAGGGCAGGTTGCTAATTTCTTATAAAACCAAGAAATATTCTTAATCATACCAGTCATGCTTATATGAAGGAAGAAGGTTGAAGGATAGAACAGCCATTCTCCAAACCACACTAAGACAAGCTGAACTTTAAAGCCATAAAAATATACATACATCTTAAAATGTATTATTTTATGCATGCTTTGCAGGATACAGCACCAAATTTCTTTACTTTTGGTCCGTTCGATCAATACAAACAATTGCAAGAGCTTTACCTATCCCACTTTGATTTGTATGTCAGTAAGAAATTCGATCTTAAACAGAATGAAAGCAAAAATGATGATAATGAAGTACTCAGTCAAGCTAAGAACATGGAGAGGCGGTATGTACATTTTTCACAAATCAATTAACTATTTCCTTAAAGGACAATTGCTGCATTCTCCGAATGTAAATTAAAAAGCTATAAGAACATTAGAATCACTAGAAAGTGAAGATCTTCCATCAAGTAGGTGCTTTTACTAACTACATCAATGGTAATGGAAACTAATAAAATTTTCTATTGTCATGGTAATATTTCCCATGTGTCAATTTCTTTACAGTTTTCATGAATGCAGATGTCGATTGTAAAATTATTATAGTTTTCATTATGTTTAATGCTCACCGATACTGAAAAAAGGCTAGATCAATGATCTTAATGTATTTTTTGATTCTCTTGACATTGTCATTAGAGCAGTTCAGATTTTCAGTGACAGTCTATATCCGGAACATCTTCTTAGCAGGTTTTGCATAATTACAAAAAATAACTGATTTGAAAGCTTTCAAAGTTTTCCTAAAAACTAACATACAAGATAAGGGCCTGTAGCGTAAATGAAATCTCTTCTCAAAATTGTATTTTGAGAGAAATCTTGTGCTATGAAGTTGTATTTGCAACTACAGTAGTTGAATACTCCAATACCTGTAAATTTCACTGAAATTGAATTATTACATGTCAGGTGAAATGTTACGGGTATGCTTTTCTGACTTGGTATAAATGTAACAGAGTCCCCTTATACTTTTCATTTAATCTTTTTTATTTTTATTATTGCCTTTGTAGGCAGACGAGCATACGGCCCACCTGACGGCAAGTGGTTATCGTCGCTTATGGACGTCAGCAATGCCAGGGACAGAACCAAGCAGCTGCCTACCATTAAGTTCTGTCCGCAAGCCTAGTTTGAAGAAGGACATGTCATAACGCTAGGGAAACACAGTGGAGGGGAGTCCATTCCAAAAACTATTGGACTTAACTACTTTCGTTATCTTTCAGACTTTCGGAAGCTCTGTCTGAATATATTGATTCAAAAGCAGAACTATGTGGTGAACAAGCAAAATTGGAATTAGTGGCAAACTACAACAACCCACATTCAAGTCAACTCAGGTGCATAAAAATTTTATATCTATGAATTTTTGTTTATATTGGTCTACGTAACTCATTGTGTTATTAAAATTTCTTGAAAATCGTATGACTTTAACAACGCATTAATCTAGTCAATTTCTTTTGCATTTTTTAAATAATTTTTTTACCTATGCTGATAGCCTTGAGATGCTATTTCAGCTTCGACTTAACGTGTAGATGAGCTCACGGGGCTCAAACCGGGAGTGTTGCTAACACTGGCCCTAGCAAGAGCCGTGCTTCGCAGAATCTACCACCGGATCGGAAACGCGACCCACTGAGAAGATCCGGCGAGAAACTCAGTGGGCTCTTTTGCATTGAGAAACACTGAAAACTCCACGCGACTCGCTTACGATTGTTGTTCCTAGATGACGCCACTTTGATTCTATACAAATCTTAAATAACTGTTGAATACATATAAGACATTTTCACCTTAATTTAGGAATTATAAATTAGGAATTGTTAGTTGAAATAAACATGGCGTTGCTCTAAAAAAACAAAGGTTTTATTATTTTAATAACTTACAATTACAATTTAATAAGATACACAACAATAATAAACAGTACATTAATATTAGAGGTATCTCACCTGAAAACAAAGAAATGACATTTAAAGTCCACCACTCTCAATTCCTCATAATAATTAAGTAATTTAATTTATAACAATATGCCCGAACATGGCAGATGTCAACCCTTCAATAATTATCGACAGCGCCATCTATATAATTACACAGGAGCTATTTAGAGCGCTGTAAAAATGTACTATAGAGAAATATAGTTTCTTTATATACATAAAACTCGGCGGGATTGTGTGCGCGAACTAAATCTAACCGTCACACTAAACATAAATGTTATATTTTAGCATGAACATACTGGAAGCTCAAACAGCAGTCCAACTTCTAGAACAAGAAGAAGGTATCATAAATCTCCAAATAGAGAACGCTATCAAAGAATTTGTCGAAGACCGCACCCGTATTGTTGAGGAAACTGCGCTGAACGCTGCGTTAGCTATAAGAGAGTAAGTAAAGATTTTTAACTATGCTAGAAATTTTTAATTGAACTACCACATTCATCTTGGTAGTGAGTTGACACGGTCCTTCACAAATATCAGCTCTCAAAGGGACCGACCGAACCCACTGCCTTAGCAAGAAACTAATCCTTAGTAGTTTTAGTGCTTTCGTTCGATTTCTTTCAAGCCATGTTTAAAATAAATAAATAATAATAATAAATATTTACTAACAATCACGCCACGTTAACTGGTCCCGTGGTAAGTTCGTAAAGAACTTGTGTTACAGGCACCAGATAACGGAAATAAATGTAAGATTTTTATTATACACATACACATATTTAATATACATCCATAACCCTGGAAAAGACATTTTATATTTATCATACAAATATCTTCCTTTGGCGGGATTCGAACCCGCGACCCCTTTGTGTAGTGACCATGTCACACCAGACGGCCGTTAAAAGAAAAGAAGGGACATCACTAACATTTTCTTTGGAAATTCATGTTGTAAGCAGTAAGCATCAAAGCTTATGTTGTTACTTGTTACTCGTTAAATGAACAAATAATATATCTACTGTATGACAGTTCACTTTTTCATTCAATAAACCTATCACCCACCGGTCAATCCCGGAGGAGTCCATAACAATAATTAACATTATTTATTATTATTTTTCCGATATAGAATGTTTTCTTACCGGACATATCGTCTATTCGCATTAAAACTGTATAATTTCAAAACTTTCTAATTTTACAGAAGATTGTTTTAAAGGATTATTAACATGTGATATTTTTAATATTAATCATCTTTGCAACGTTTATATTTATTTTTTACTAGTTACATTGTCTGTATTTTAAAGTAAGATAAAATTATGTATGAAATTGTACACTTTTAATGCGAAAAGACGATAGGAAACTGGTGGTAGGACCTCTTATAAGTCCGCACGGGTATGCACCACCACCCCGCCTATTTCTGCCGTGAAGCAGTAAGTAATGCGTTTCGGTTTGAAGGGTGGACCAGCCGTTGTAACTGAGACCTTAGAACTCATATCTCAAGGTGGGTGGCGCATTTACGTTGTAGATGTCTATGGGCTCCAGTAACCACTTAACACCAGGTGGGCTGTGAGTTCGTCCACCCAGCTAAGCAATAAAAAATAAAAAATTATATTTCAGAGAAGTCAGCAACGATCTCGCGTACTTGCTGGACACGACGCAGCACGCACTGGTCCTGGATAAAGTACTGTACAGCGCCCTCCGACACGAATTGCACAACATCGAAGAGTTTCTGCTCTTCGCCGCTCAACTCAAGCAATACGTGCTCGATGAAAACGATGCGGTCACCAGCAGGATCGTGAGTACTTGTTGTTGTACTAAGCTAACACGTGCTGTATAGTTTTCATAAAAAATAAAACATGTGTGGCACTCGGAGACTGCCGCGGTAAAGCTATTGCATAGCATTTTTTATACAACTTATACAATTATAATTATACAATAAAAATGTAATATTAAAACAATAATAAGACCACACTATATTTATAAATATTAACAAAAGCAAAACATTAACTGTCCCCTTCACACTCATAAGCTAGACCGAGCGAGAGAGAGATGGGCAGACTTTTCAGGATGCGCATGCAGTGCGACGTCACGCCGCGCTTATTCACAAACACTACACAAGCGCAACGTGTGAATGTATTGAACGCGACCTACATGGTAGGCGGAGTGGGGGGTGTTAGGTTTTATTTACGTTACGGAATTTCTTGATTCGGTCGCCGCGATAAAAGCTATGCAATAGCTTAAAAAATGGTGCACATGCAACTTGGTGCACGTGAAATAAGTGGTTAATTTTTCATCCTTAAATAAAATTTCTCTTGTAATAGGGAATACTGTGCGTAAGAGAAATTATCGAGTGGTTCGCGAGACGTACGATCTATTTTCTCACTCTCGCTCTTCCTAAATTTTATGTTTTGCCTCTAGCCGTTTAAATTTTACTCTCAACGCAGCTAAAGAAGTTTCACTTCAAAAATTGTAACGGAAACTAAACAGCCTTAATGATTACTATTAATCTAGCAAGTATTAATGAACGACTTTAACAATTCTCTATTATTTATAGATAGCAGACTGTCATTCCACCAATGATGATATTAATGTGAAAACATTATATTAATTTATATATATGTAAGCTTGAGGGTAGATATTATCTTGTTGAACACCAATTAAAACGAAGTCACCTTTGATTTCTGATTTAATCAACAATATGTTATCTTAACAATTCACTTTAACACTTGTCCAACTTTAACCAGTACGTACAACAGTCACTGAATCACACAACGTAACAAGGATATAGTAAGTGCACCGGGCAAACGCAGTCCAACGAATGTTCATTGCGAGGCACGTACCGCCTTTTTATACTGGCCGGCGCAGCTGGCTTATTATGAGTCACTTCTGTTGCACCTGTTGTTTATGAGTCGAACGACACGGCCGGCGCACCTGGCTTGTGTGAGTCACTCCTATTGCACGTGCTAAACAGAAATATCGTTAACGCCGTCATATATTATTTTTTAGTGTTCAATGAACGAAATATGCAGAGAACAAGCCTCGTGCGAGCAGAAACTAGAACATTCAGATGTTTTATTAACATCACTATGCACTGTACTGGGTATCGAACCAACGACGAATGTAATGATCCTTGTGAAAAGCTATAACGATCTTGAAAGGGACATCAAGGAAGCTAAAGAAGGTATCGAAGATGGTTTCAGAGTGAGAGAAGAAAAATTAAAAGAAATGTGAGTATGGTTTTTTTATTTTTTTTATTGCGTCACTTAGATTGGAGCTGCATTTTAAGACATAAGTTCCAGAGGTGAAACTCACTGTCTGTATTAAAACAAGAGGCAAGATTCTCAATTGTATTAAAATAACGGCCTATTTTGATGAACATCTTTTTTTTTCTCAATATTTTCATGAAGAGTAATTCATTAAATGTTGTAATTTTTTTTTTGCTTATATTGTTGACGAAGTTGCTTAAAAAAAGTTTTTCTTTTCGCGACTTTTGTGATGGCAATACTTTTTAAAGAAGGATTTTGTTAAGTAATCCCAAGGAGCTTAGTTGTGTGACTTTAATATTTCGTCGAATTTCAAAATGTAATAATTATGACCTGGTAACCACTGTGTACACTGGTAGCATATGTGAAAGTACAAAACCATGCAGAAATTTTAACGAAGTCACTACACATGCCTTCTTGGATTCTCCCAAGAAGTTCATTAAAGCTACAGGAAATTCCCACAGTTTTATTGGGATATTATTTTATTTAATCTTAATTTCGTTTCACCTCAGAATAAATATCAGCAAAATCAATTTACTTTCACATCACCTAAATTATTTTTTATATAACAAAGCACATAATAAATATAATATAAATTTTGTATAAGCAACAAGAATATTTAAACCATTCATCCATTTTGAAAAAATATATCTTAATCCATATTTTAATAATTACTTTTATCAAAATTATGTCAAGTGCTTATTCGGTATAAACGTCATCAATAGTTTTTACTGTTATTATTAATAAGACAAAATGATAATTCCAATTTATTCGGTTGCATACACAATACTTTTCCATAAAAAACCTTTTTATAGAAACAATGCTATTATTATAAAGCTCTCTTATTGTTCACAGTGAACAATCAATACGACCATTAGTCGATTACATCTGGGACGGCTGCACCAAACAACCCAGCAGTACGGACAAAACCGTAGCTGCCCTCGCACACCAACTCGAACAGGAGATGAGCAAGACCGACGCCAGGATACTGGCTGCCAGTGCGAAGTTTAACTCGATCAAGGTACATTTATGTTGGAAAAGAAAGAAATATCATTATAGACTGGTGTGACCTGAACACGATTATTATCCCCAGTGACCACTCACTGTCAGGTAGACTGTATTATACTCGTCTGTCTACAGCAGCGGTCGGGGAACTTTTTTAATTAATACCCCAAAATACTTTTGTGCAAGTTGATATTACCCCATGGGGAAAAACAAAAAAAAAACGAAATCACTTCTTTTTCGTATCTTTCTTAATATAGCCCTCATGATAATTTTGAAAAGAAAACAATAACTAAAAATTTAACGATTCTAGAGAAGTTTCACTTCAATATGTACTTTTAACTCAAAAAAGTTTCATTTTTACCCCTCAAAATTTCATTTTACCCCATTTGGGTTAATTCCCAAATGCGGTTCCCCGACCGCTGGTCTACAGTGTCAATAATAATAAAATAAGTGGTGCGTATTTATACTAGCCCTACCTCACCCAGAAGCTCCACCAGTTACCAGACTGACCATACCCTGGATAAATGAAAATATACAACAAAATAAAACCAATTGTTACTTAACTTTTAGAGGTTATGGTTTTGATGGTTTTTTTTTTCTTCTGACTAAACAGCTATTGTTTACAACGATTACCTTAAGCATTTTTACGATAAGGAAGACCAATAGATTTTATTTAATGTGTTTTCAAGGTTTATACTTGGTGAATGTTGCCACCCAGCAACGGTATAGTTTGTAGGCTCTCATCTATAAAGCCTAGCTAACGTTTGCCTCAATCCAAAGTAGTCGGATATATTGTGCGTATTACTGGGACTAGGGCGTTAGTAAGCCCACACGAGTAGGTGTCACTACCCTACCTATCCCCCACGCAGTCAGTCTGTGTTGTCACATTGAATTAAAATTTGCCTAATATTTGTGAGTGGTTGGTTCACTGTAATAAGTCAACAAAATGAAATGTGTATTTAAATGGCGGACACATACTTGTTTTAAAACAATAATTTTAATTTTCAGAACAGCGACAATCAGCTACGGAAACTGTGGCAGTGGTTCCTGACCGATCCGTCAAAACTAATGTCCGTCATTAAAGGCGTACAAAGCGGAAAGTACACATGACTGAATGACCACGTCTAATATTTGTATCACATACTAGCTGACCCAGCAGACTTCGTAGTGCCTCAATCGATAAAAAAAAAGGAATCCGTCCGACGGGGGACACAATTGTAATTTTTATTTAATTAAGAGCATTTTCATATTTATCTACCTTTTAAACCTTCTCTGGACTTCCACAAATAATTCAAGACCAAAATTAGCAAAATCGGTCCAGCCGTTTTCGAGTTTTAGCGAGACTAACGAACAGCAATTCATTTATATATATAGATATAGATATTTTCTTAAACACAATTTAAAGGCTCTCTTAGGTAGTTTCTAACCATAATGCAAATTATTTATCTTTAGGAGTTACCGGTACTGGTAACATTATAAATAGTAATCTAATCTTTTCTTACCTTATCGCTGGTAGCCTAAGGGGCTATTCTATCTGTGCTCAGAGACGGATGAGAGAGTTCACAGGCTCAACCTCAGAGAATTGCTAAAATTAGCACTAGCAAGAGCAGTGCTTTACTGAATCTACCACGGGCCATTAATCATGAAGATAAATGAATACTCTTTTGTTTGTAGAAAATTGTATATTTTCACTAACTTACTTAACAAAAACAATATAAAACATAGTTATAATTTACAAAAAAAAATTATCACAATAATTGTCATGCATTGACTCAAGCTATATAACAGTCCTAATAAATAAAAAATTACAAAATAAAATGGTCATATTCTGTTTGAGACTATTATTTATTAAATCTTATAAATTGTATTTTAATTGTTGTTCTCCTCAAAGTTGTTATATAAGAAATAATGAAAAACATGATTAAATATTGTAAATTTTTAACCGAAAGTGAACTTTATTCGGTGAACTGTGTATTTTTTCTATTGCAATTTAGTTTACATTACTTAGAAGATGTGATCTGAAACTATGAAGGGCGGGTGTGTGAAAGAGACAGAGAGAGGCAGGTGGTAGAGTTTTTCTTTCTTTTTGCAACAGACCACCTCAGATTGGACATTGATATTATCATGGTCCCGCATAATTTTAATGACAAAATATTCAGTTGAGATGATTTATTCAGTCCCACGTCGGTCTCTGTTTTTTCCTCAATAACGTGTCCTCCGGAGATATGTGTATGGGATTGTTGAAGTCCACTTCGACGTTGTCTGGTATACTGTCGTAATACGTTATGTGAGCCTCCGGGGTATCTGTTTGTTGAATTCAATTAGTTTTTATTAGTAAAATATTCACTTTATACTTCAAATTTACATGAAATTTATGAATAATTGAAGTGTAGAAACAGTTTAGAGTTTAGAATGTTCACTTAAATTTTTAATTCATGTATCTATGTTTTTTTTTAATTGCTTAAACGGGTGGACGAGCTCACAGCCCACCTGGTGTTAAGTGCTTACTGGAGCCCATAGATATCACGCCACGTACCATCCAGCTCTGGAATGAACTCGATGTGTAAACGAGCTCACAGCCCACCTGGTGTTAAGTGGTTACTGGAGCCCGTAGACATCCACAACGTAAATGCGCTACCCCCCTTGAGATATAAGTTCTAAGGTCTGAAGTATAGTTACAACGGCTGCCCCACCCTTCAAACCGAAACGCATTACTGCTTCACGGCAGAAATAGGCAGGGTGGTGGTACCCACCCGCTTGGACTCAGAAGAGGTCCTACCACCAGTACAAGTAGTTTTTATTCAATGTTTCTTCCTAATTCTTCAAATTTTATTCAACGCAGAAATAATATTAAATTATTTGCCCGTCTTGAGACATGAGTTCTAAGTATTATCACATAACCGGTACATATAAAGGTAGATATTAGTATATTATATAGTCATAGTAGTAGTAGTATTTTTTTTAAAGATAGGCAACGGGGTAGATACGCACGTGTGAGGTTGAGCGCGGTGATGAGGTCGTCGAGGTGCGAGGCGTCGATCCGCGCGGTGAGGCTGCGGGTGACGCGGCGCGGCAGCAGCGGCAGCGCGTACACCGTCTCCGGGACCGGGGTGTTGTCTCCGCCGAACTCCTGTTGTAGTCGAACTTTGTAAACGATATTGATAGGAAAGGAGATAGGTGGACGAGCTCATGGTCCACCTGGTGTTAAGTGGTTGCCGGAACACTGAAATATAAGTTGCAAGGTCTCAGTTTTTACAGCAGAACCCACTGAGTTTCTCGCCGGATCTTCTCACTGGGTAGCGTTTTCGATCCAGTGGTAGATTCTGCGAAGCACGACTCTTGCTAGGACTAGTGTTAGTGACGTCAGGTTAGAGCCCCGTGAGCTCATCTACACACGTTAGGGTGAAGCTGAAATAGCCTCTCAAGGCTATCAGCATAGGTAGAACAAAAAAACGCAACCTTGTTAGAAGTCGCATTAGAAGTTTAACTTCTATAATACTAATAATCTCACCAAGCACTTCCCGCTGACGCAGTAGGAGGCGTTGTTGTGCCCGCAGGCCGTGCCCAGCGGGAACCAGCCCTCGTGCCCGTTGACCAAGTAGAAGCGGTGCGCGACGCGCTCGTCCTGGCACGCGATGCGGCACGGCCGGTCCGGGTCCTCTGTAGCCACGACACCAACAACCACACGATATTACGGACATTATCCAAACAAAGAAGGCCTTGTGGTGTAGATAATATCGACGCTTGAAAGGCAAACATGACTAAGCGACAATAACTGCTTATACATAAATGATAGGCAATAACCATATTCGATGCGCAAAAAAATATATATTTCTAAGTCTATTAAAATCATTTCAATCCTACAGCTAGATTCGTTAAAATATAATTTTTTGCAGGTATTTCAACTTTAAATTAGCCTACTGGAAAGTTCACGCATTGTCGCTTAGTCATGTTTGCCTTTCAAGCGTCGATATGCAATGTTGCATATTGCAATATGACGTGTATGTATGATGTCGGGCGACGCTTCTGCGAGGGTAGTCGTTCGCTTACCGCCAGCTAAGCAAGGTGTGCAATAAATGCCTAATATATCATCAGTATTTTATTGAAGAACCCAACCAAATGTTACTAAAGCCTCATTTTCGTAATGATTCTGAACTTATAACTTGATTAAGGAGCACTATATATATCGAAGTCGTCGTGGCCTAAAGGATAAGACGTCCGGTGCATTCGTATATAGCGATGCAACGGTGTTCGAATTCTGCTGAGAGGTACCAATTTGTTTTAATAAAAATACGTACTTGACAAATGTTCACGATTGACTTCCACGTTGAAGGGATAAAACATCGTGTAATAAAAATCCATTATTGGTGGATCGATCATTACTACCACCACCCCACCGCATTCTGCCGTGAAGCAATAATGCGTTTGGGTTTGAAGGGTGGGGCAGCCGTTGTAATGGGCTCCAGTAACCACTTAACACCAGGTATTGTAGGTATGTATGTTTTTATTTAAGTAAACTAATTCTTTTTTATTTGCAAAGAAGCAAAATTATTATTACACTGTCCATATATATAAAAATGTATGCATATTTGTTGTATGTGTATATATATATTTCAATCGATAGAAACATTCTTGCCCACCTAATGGTTGTCTTTGGTTGTGGTTGGAGAATTGGGAGGGGGGTATTCGTGTAGGAGGCCACCGAATTAGTAATCTTCGTTTCGCTGATGATACCACTATAATCGGTACCTCGGAGCGAGAGTTGCATGAGCTTCTGAGGAGAGTGGAAGTCGTTAGCAAAGATTACGGACTTTGCATCAACCGATCCAAAACGAAATTGATGTTTGTCGATAGAGCTGGCACAATGACACGCACTCACGAACTGCGTGACCTGGACGTGGTGCAGGAATTTGTGTACTTGGGGTCATTAATATCCAGTGACGGTGATTGTGACAGGGAGGTTCCAGNAACACTTGGAGGAAAAGGCGTGCTCAAAGCCTCATCCCAATTTGGAGTCACTCAAGACATCCTTGATTAAGGCAGCCGCCGATATTGACATGGACCTCGTTCGTGCTGCGATAGACGACTGGCCGCGCAGATTGAAGGCCTGTATTCAAAATCACGGAGGTCATTTTGAATAAACTTTAGTGTCATAAGAATCTATGTTTTGGTATATGTTCATTTTGGTATATGAATAGTTACATAATGAATAAACTTGTTTCAATTATTTTACATTAAACATGTGACAGAATTTATGACCTGACTAGGTATATTGTCATCTTCTCTTGAAGACATCCAAAGAAGCACTATCACGCCCGGAATGAGGCAGCTTATTTATATTCCATAACCGTGGTCCTAAAATCATTATGTTCAATATGTGGTCCACCTAGGTCCTGGAACCAGCTCAGGGGGGGGTCATGACCCCATGACCCCCCCCCCTGGATCCGCCCTTGGCTCCAGTAACCACTTAACACCAGGTATTGTAGGTATGTATGTTTTTATTTAAGTAAACTAATTCTCTTTTATTTGCAAAGAAGCAAAATTATTATTACACTGTCCATATATATAAAAATATATGCATATTTGTTGTATGTTTAAATATATTTCAATCGATTGAAACATTCTTGCCCACCTAATGGTTGTCTGGAAGGGTTCGTTCTTAGCGATAAGACTGTCAATTATATTTCTTGGTATTTAAAGTTTTGATATTTATTTATTTATTTTGTGTATAATAAAGCATAGTCTCTCTCTCTCTCTCTCTCTTGTCTTGTCTCACTCTTGGGAAAATATCAAATCTATAATGAATTAAGATAATGTCCGCGCCAGTACTTCACGTACAAGCGGGGACTACGAGGTCTGCGGGGGGGTCCAACCACCACCACGGCATCGACGACTCGAGCGGCGGGGACCGAACACACACAGCCATAGATTATACACTTAATATGCAGAACACCATAGATTATACACTTAATATGCAGAACACCATAGATTATACACTTAATATATTTGAGCAGAACACTACTGGAACGATATAGAATCGCACGCCCGACTCGCGGCTAATATTGCATTAAAACTTTATATGAGTCGTCTATTATCAAAGGTGGCAATCTGTGCATTTGGACAAAAAAATGTTATTGATATGTCAATACAGATTGATTTGAATATAATTGTCTCCTTCAAAGAATACGGTTCAAAACCTGCATTAAATAAAGGTTAATACTTAACCTGTTATTTATCTATGATGTCGTTCAGAAGAGTTTTGTGACTGCCAATGGAATACAAAGTCAATAATTCGTTTTTCTGATTTACCAGTAATTGTTCAAAAGTCACATTGCCGGCTTTGATAATAGTCGACTCATATACAGTCCACCTAACAATAAAACCTCAAGAACAAAAACCTTTATTTTACTGAACTACCGAACAGATAATAATTCCAGCAGTCGATACCTAGAGCCGGTGATATCTGCATGCCGAGGCCTGATAGTCTTCTGACGCGTTCTTTGTATTTGCTGCAGACCATTGTTGCGTACTGGTACGGCGACTTCCTTCGCGTGCAACCCTGGACAAATAAAATATTTAAAAGCATTAATTTACTGAATACAAATTAAATCTAAAGTCTGTACCAGGGCTGGAAACTGCGATGCTTTAAGACGAATATTTTTTTGTATGGAAACTAGCGACATCTTGTAGCGGATGCCCCTAAACATATATGTCGTTAAAGTTAAGGCATTTAATTATTGTATAACTAAACAAAGAAAATAAGAAAATCATACAAGCCTTTATTTTTTATAGATAAATAGAATAAATTTTATTAATTTGTGGTTATTGAAAATTTACAAAATTCCTCAGTAAAAACAATATATAGGATGGGTAATATGTTAGCCATGCAGGAGCCATGAGAAGCGAAGCCATCTAGTGCCCGACGCCCGTAAACATTTTTGTTGAGTGCTTGAGTTGCTTATCTTTAACTAATGTATTTTACCTATGGTGTGTACTAATTCGGCTGGATGACTCCGCGCGCCACACGTGCTTGCGTCGAGTCGCGTGTTTAGTTGTAATGTTGACTGCGATAATTCATGCAGCCGTATCATATACTATGAACGCATCGATATGTATGAACGTCTCGGCATGGGGCTCTCGTGAGGAGATTCATCTCCAGTCCAAAGATACCATCTCGCGTAGCGGTAGGACTCTACAGCGTTAGGTACCGGGTCTGGCTGCTGTTGACCACAATAACCCTCATATTTCTCCCGGTTTCTGTCTATAGCGGGAATTGAACGTTCAGGCAGCCGTATCATATACCATGAACGCTTCTACTGCACGGAGCTTTTGTGTGGAGATTCAGCCCCAGCCCCACCCGGCGCAACGGTAGGACCATACAGCGTCACGTACCCGGTCCGGCTGCTGTTGACCGCAATAGACCCCCTATCTGTCTGAGCTCTCGTGAGGAGATTCAGCCCCAGTGCAAAGATCCCTCCCTCAGTAGTGGTGACGTACCCGGTGCGGCTGCGCAGCGGCGGGCGCGCACAGCTGTATGGAGGTGCGCGACGAGGCGGCGGCGCGCACGAGGCGCAGGCCGGCGCCGGGCGCGATGCAGTGGTAGTGGCAGCCGCTCGCCGCCACCCACTCGGCCGCGCGCCGCCACGGACCCGACGACTTGCCGCGAGCGCTGCCAACCCAACGAACTCGTGTTTTAGCATTTCTTCAAACTTCAAATGTGAACATTGTGAATATGTCGTGGCCTAAAGGATAAGACGTCCGGTACATTCGTGTGTAGCGACGCACCGGTGTTCGAATCCCGCAGGCGGGTACCAATTTTTCTAGTGAAATACTTACTTAATAAATGTTCACGATTGACTTCCACGGTGAAGGAATAACATCGTCTAATAAAAATCAAACCCGCAAAATTGTAATTTGCGTAATTACTGGTGGTAGGATCTCTTGTGAGTCCGCGCGGGTGGGTACCACCACCCCACCTATTTCTGCCGTGAAGCAGTAATGCGTTTCGGTTTGTAAGGTGGGGTAGCCGTTGTAATTATACTTGAGACCTTAGAACTTATATCTCAAGATGGGTGGCGCATTAACGTTGTATATGTCTATGGGCTCCAGTAACCACTTAACACCAGGTGGGCTGAGAGCTCGTCCACCCATCTAAGTAATAAAAAAATAACGAGTAAAACATTTTTGTAGAAAATTTTATATGAATATGTATTTTTGAGAACTATATCAAATGAAAGCTATAGATAAATATTAAGGCTTATGGATACATAACAGTTTTTTTTAAACAGTAGATAGGGCTGTGAACTATACGAAAAGGTCAAAAAGTAAAAATCTCAAAAAGTGTACATATCATATTTTGGTTAGACAATGACGTTAAATGAAAGTACATAAATGTGGGAAAAAAACGCAGCTTCTCGGGTACATCGAATGTCGACTAAAAATCCCTCAATAAATAACCACCATTTTAATGAGACTATATTTCATCCTATTACACCTTATTTCATTTAATTTCATCCCAATTGATTAGTCTTCAATTAATCAACTTCACCTCATTTCGCTTCATATTACGTTTCATATTTTAACATAATGTAAGTAGATATTTACTTGGCTTAAAGGTCTTGTCACTCGGTCATAAAATATAAAAAAAACCATTATTCTTTTTTTTAAATAAGTACTCACGTCGACTCGGTAGGCGCTGCCTGTAAAGCTTCCCATTCACAGTCGCTCGGTTTTAGCGAGAACTCCGAATCAATGGTCGAAGAGCACGTAAATTTCTATAAAATAAAAGTAATAATTACGTTGCTGAGCATTCTTGAACCACGACTGTTTTCGAATTAATCTTCCTCGTTTTGTATCGGAAAACGTGCAATTTTAATTTTGTCGACATCAAAAAGTTCTAGTAATTTAATTTTTTTTATTTTTTTTTATTTATTTTTTATTATTTTTTATTTTAATTATTTTACTTTTATTTTATTTAATTTATTTAATTAGTAAATCTCTGGACTAGAATAGAAAATTTTATATCTTTTCCTCGAGAAGCTTCGCTGTGTAATTAAAATTTTTATGTGCTACCAAAGTGATACCCAGGGCTGCATAAATTTATTTCTCATATTATATATGTAAATTACAAACAAACACGAAGTTCACTTTTTTTTCCTACCTATGCTGATAGCCTTGAGAGGGTATTTCAGCTTCACCATAACGTGTAGGTGAGCTCACGGGGCTCAAACCGAAAGTGTTGCTAACACTGGCCCTAGCAAAAGCCGTGCGTCGTAGAATCTACCACCGGATCGGAAACGCGGCCCACTGAGAAGATCCGGCGAGAAACTTAGTGAGCTGTGTCTATGGGTTAATTTACCGGGCCCTTCGTCGCAAGCGACGGGTTCGACGAGGACGGTGACCGGGGAAGTTTACAAAAGCGTGCCAATACTATCACACAGTGTAATGCCGTTGACCAGATACCTGACATATTCCACTGATACAGAACATCGGAGACACCCTGGAACACGCAGTTCCGTCGGGGAGACTCCAGCCCCGGGACTTGTAGCCGCCGCCGCGCGTGTCGCACCACACTGCGCATGCGCTGCTCACGTCTAACGCACAAACAAGCCGTTATTGTATAACAGACGGCACAGACCACAATGTCCATAGACATAGCATTGTGCGAGGTGACCTCACTGTCTCCTGTATATTATCGCACCTCCCGCTAGCGGAGCAGTTCAGCCATACTGTCTAGAACCGCTGCCTTTATAGACAGTGTGTTTCCAGAGATCTTTTCTGCCACTTACTGGAATGAATTCCCCTCCAAGGTGTTGCAAGAGCGCTAAGACATGAACTTCTTCAAAAGAGGATTGCGGAGAATACCTACTCAATGGTAGGCAGCGACTTAGCTGTGACACTTCTTCTTTGTGGGTCGTCCACCTTACGAGGGCTCGAAGGGCGCCTAACAACTCAAGAACAGCTGCTTCGCGAATAAATCTACTACCGGATCGGAATCGCGACCCGCTGAGAAGATCCGGCGAGAAACTCAACGGACTAATGCATGGGTATACGTTTACCGGGATCCCTAAGCCTGCTCCTAGTGTTAGAGTTGAAGGCGTCTAATGCAAGAGTTATTGGATCTGATGAATCCATAAGGATGTCAGGAAGCTTCTCGTGACACGTCCCCTACCGAGCGAATGGCGGCTAGTGATTTATATTAAAACGGAAATACCGTCAGAGTCGATCCTCTGTAGTCCGGTCCCGATGAGGTCCGGATCCACGTCCCTGGCCCGCGTGCAGATCTGATCGGCGAATTCTCGGACGGTCATGCGGGGAACGTTGTCACACTACAAGAAGGTGAAATATTGCAAAAACCATTATCCACAAACTATACTCTATTCCAATTACGAAGTCCCATTTGACATATATTAATACAAGCCGTACTCGTTCGCTTCGCTGGGCATTTAAAATTAACATTATTATTTCTCACCCCTCACAAAGATTCTCATCATTAACGCTCCCGCAACTGGTGTAGGGAGTCCAACACTCATATAAATATTAGCCTATCCATTAAGTACATGTATTTTCTACATGGATACCAAGTTTCAAGTCAATCGGATGCATGGTTCAGTAGTTATAACGGAACATCCGTAAAAACCACTGTAGATTTATATATTAGTATAGATTGTGTGTGTGTGTGTGTGTGTGTGTGTGTGTGTGTGTGTGTGTGTGTGTGTGTGTGTGTGTGTGTGTGTGTGTGTGTGTGTGTGTGTGTGTGTGTGTGTGTGTGTGTGTGTGTGTGTGTGTGTGTGTGTGTGTGTGTGTGTGTGTGTGTGTGTGTGTGTGTGTGTGTGTGTGTGTGTGTGTGTGTGTGTGTGTGTGTGTGTGTGTGTGTGTGTGTGTGTGTGTGTGTGTGTGTGTGTGTGTGTGTGTGTGTGTGTGTGTGTGTGTGTGTGTGTGTGTGTGTGTGTGTGTGTGTGTGTGTGTGTGTGTGTGTGTGTGTGTGTGTGTGTGTGTGTGTGTGTGTGTGTGTGTGTGTGTGTGTGTGTGTGTGTGTGTGTGTGTGTGTGTGTGTGTGTGTGTGTGTGTGTGTGTGTGTGTGTGTGTGTGTGTGTGTGTGTGTGTGTGTGTGTGTGTGTGTGTGTGTGTGTGTGTGTGTGTGTGTGTGTGTGTGTGTGTGTGTGTGTGTGTGTGTGTGTGTGTGTGTGTGTGTGTGTGTGTGTGTGTGTGTGTGTGTGTGTGTGTGTGTGTGTGTGTGTGTGTGTGTGTGTGTGTGTGTGTGTGTGTGTGTGTGTGTGTGTGTGTGTGTGTGTGTGTGTGTGTGTGTGTGTGTGTGTGTGTGTGTGTGTGTGTGTGTGTGTGTGTGTGTGTTATAAATACAATGATTTAAATTGATTGTGTATTTTTAAATGATGATTTACGATCATCAACAAAAAATTATTGTTATTTCAAATTATCCGAAACGTGAAGAGTTACGTTCTCAGAACTGTCAAAAGGGACTTTTTATTGCTTAGATGGGTGGACGAGCTCACAGCCCACCTGGTGCTAAGTGGTTACTGGAGCCCATAGACATCTACAACGTAAATGCGCCAGCCATCTTGAGATATAAGTTCTAATATCTCAGTATAGTTACAACGGCTGCCCCACCCTTCAAACCGAAACGCAATACTGCTTCACGGCAGAAATAGGCAGAATAGAGTGAAGTAAGACTGGTATTGGTGAAGGAATCGCTTTAAGAATGAAAAATTGATTACATTGAACGCGTTAACAAAGTTCCTTTATCTTCAATCTTTAATAGAACCCTATTGTTAGCGAACTCTCAAGATGACATCCACAGAAATTGATGCGGCCCGCAAATTCCTTGTTATGATATACGATACTACTTTATATCAGTTGTGATATCATATCATACCATGTCTATGCATATACATCAGTTTGTTTTAAATTGCATATATGGGTGGACCAGCTCACAGCCCACATGGTGCTAAGTGGTTACCGGAGCCCATAGACATCTACAGTGTAAACGCCGCCACCCACCTTGAGATATGAGTTCTAAGGTCTCAGTATAGTTACAACGTCTGCCCTGCCCTTCAAACCGAAACGCATTACTGCTTCACGGCAAAAATAGGCAGGGCGGTGGTACCTACCCGTGAGACGTCCTACCAACAACATACCAGCACCAATACGAGTATGCCACTATACACAATAATATTTGTAATATCCATACAAGCGAGGTCACGGTCACAACTAGTTATGGTCTATAGCTCACGACTTCAACATAGCTATCTATATCTATCAACCATAAACAAAAAAATGCTTACGGACAAAATAGATCCGACCTTATGACTGGTTAGATTAATTTACCTGTTCCGCGTGACAGGATTGATACTTCTTGTCGTGTCCGGGACAAAAGTTGTCGTCGTCGTGTCTGCAAAATTAACATGATCTTTGACCGGACTATTGCTATTGGCGTATAAGGTTTCGGAGCGTCTACCGTTGACGCAATTGAAGCTTCGGTCTCGTATCTCGAGATGGGTTGACGGCATTCACGTCATGATGTCCATGGGCTCAGATAACCATTGTTTTACAATTGAAAACCTATATTCTTATGTAAAATGTTCATAATAACAAAATTGTGAAGTATATAAACAAAAATAGATGAAGCAAAAAAAAAAAACAGAAAAAATCCTTTCCTTTATGGATGAGTTCATGGAGGTATATCCAAAGGAGGGTTGACGTCAAGCGAAGCGTCATGCCAAATGCCTATGCATGGATAAGAGCTTCGACACCACATAATGTGGGATAAGAGCTATAAGAAGAAGAACCCAGGGAACCAAAATGTAGAAAATAATGTCAAGGACTTCGCATCTCAGATACACGAACAAGTGCTCTAATAGTAAATTTACAATGTCATACACGCACGTGTCATAAACACATGCTTATTACAATGTCATTCCTGAATGCCACAGGTAAACCAGTCTAGACTTTTTTTATTGCTTAGATGGGTGGACGAGCTCACGGCCCACCTGATTTTAACTGGTTACCCGTAGACGTCTACAACGTAAATACGCCAGCCACCTTGAGATATGAGTTTTACGGTTTAGGCATTACTGCTTCACGGCAGAAATAGGCAGGGTGGTGATACCGTGCGGACTCACAAGAGGTCCTAGTAATTACGCAAAAGAATAATTTTGCAGGTTTGACTTTTATTACACGGAATTATTCCTTCGCCGTGGAAGTCAAGTCGGTTACCGTAACAAATAACTGTTCTACCGAGAAGGGTTCGTCACCTGTGCCGGTTGCAGCGCCGAGTGGCCACGGAGACGCCGGCCGCGGCGGGCGCCAGCGCGTCGTCCAGCAAGCAGGCGGACGCGCACTCGGACCACGCGCCCCACCGCCCCCAACGCCCCGCACCGCCCCGCGCGCCTCGCCCTCCCCGCTCCGCGCACTCCCCGCCTCGACAATACTATACATAGATATGACACAGTGAAGTTCAATGAACCGTCACCAGGTTAGAGCCCCGTCAAGTCAACTAATCTAGTATAACCCCTATAGATAACTAGAATGTGTAGGAAAAAAATTCAATGAACCTTTTGCATTACCGAACTCATTCCCATTAAAGTATTTTTGGGGTTATCAGTGCCCATAGACATCAACAACGTAAATAGAACCACTCACTTCGAGACATTAGTTCTAAGGTCTCAGTTTAGTTACAACGGCTGTCCCGCCCTTCAAACCGAAACGCATTACTGCTTCATGGCAGAAATAGGCAGGGCGGTGGTACCTACCCGTGCGGACTCACAATATGCCCTATTACCAAATAACTAATCTATACCAATGAAATATTGTATTTAGTCTATTAAATATACCTCATAGTGATGAAAATTAAATAATAAAATTAATTAAATAAAATTTCAATATCAAAATAAAATTTCAAAGCAGCTAACTTAATATGTATCGTAAGCATAAAGATGAGTAATAGGAATATAAGCACGTATCGCTATCTCGCTCGCACTCCCTCATCAATAGCGGTGACGTCATAAGCTGCAATGGCTTCCTTTCGATATTCCACAATCATGACTCCTAACGACTACTGTTACTTGCCGAAAAACCTACGACTAATAGCTTCTACTCACCATATCGTCGCCACACTTAGTTCCTTCGAGGGCTGGATGGGAGGTCCACGTGTACCTCTCCCTCTGACAGTGGAGGTCCCGGCAGATGTCCTCTAAGTTCTGTGCAGCCGAGTGCCTGCTGCCTCGACCGTATTTTAGCATACCTTAGAAAGTTTAATGGACGATACGTCACGTACTCATTCTCTTGTTACCACGCGGATGTCATGAAATTTGGAAATAAAAGAAAATTTTAAGAAAGAAGAAAACTAAGGATAAGGAAAATGAAGGATAATTCAAAAACTACTGCTGATCAGATTTTGATAAAATTTTATGATCTAGCAATAGGTTCTGAAATACACAATACAACACAGTCGAATTGAGAACCTCCCCCTTTTTCAAAGTCGGCTAAAAAGAGCAAGCGTGAAATATTGAATTAAAAATGAAATCATTCCAATCTTAACTTTAAGTGTTTTATGATTTTTCGAATATAATAGTAGATGGAAAAAATATATTTTATTACACACTGAAACGCAATTAACACTGAAAATAGTCAATAGACAGGTATAATTAAGGAATAGGCGTTCTCTTGTCGCTAAAAGCGATATCTTCTAGACAATTGTTTTATTTACAGAAAATTTGAAAAAGATACAACAGGTATGTTGCGCTATACTGCTACTAAAAATATTAACAATTAACAACAATATTATAACATTAAAACAACAAATTGTAATTCGATAAACTAGCAATTGAATTGAAGATCTTTAAACTTTTCAATATTAATAATAGTGTGTCTTACATTGTTGATCGGCGTCAAATCTCTCCCCGGGCAGGATTCCCTCTGCGCTGTGGTCCAGCTGACCAGCTGAGTTCCCGTGATCCAGCAGACACCGAGACTGGACAGTGCTGAAACATTCAATCTCATTGCAAGACCAGTTTCAACAAACAAACAGACCCAACATTTGACATTGGTAATGGCCTGGTATTTGTGGATGTATGAAATCTTGTCTAACGCCGATAGATGATCTATATGAATTCACAAGAGATTCCTCACACCCCTCCTGATTACCCCTCCTGGCTGAACCCTTGCTCGCTCACCTGTTCTGGTGAAACTAGAAAAGTTTCCGAGCCAGCAGAAAAAAATAAAATTAAAATATTCCTCAATGATAAACCTTTTTTTTATAGCTATAAAATCCTTACTGGTGGTAGGACCTCTTGTGAGTCCGCACGGGTAGGTACCATCACCCTGCCTATTTCTGCCGTGAAGCAGTAATGCGTTTCGGTTTGAAGGGTGGGGCAGCCGTTGTAACTATAATTGAGACCTTAGAAGTTATATCTCAAGGTGGGTGGCGCATTTACGTTGTAGATGTCTATGGGCTCCAGTAACCACTTAACACCAGGTGGGCTGTGAGCTCGTCCACCCAGCTAAGCAATAAAAAATTAAATTCAAAACCACTTCTTTCGTTTTTGTGATCTGAAAAATATTAAAGACATATTCAACCAAATGTCTCATGATAACACTCACTCCAGAAACTTCTGTAGGTAGTTCTTGCTGCACTGCGACCAGGTAATCTTCCCGCTCCCAAGAGTCGGGCTCATGAGGAACGCGCTGGGATCACACCCATTGTCGGCAGACGGTCCGTCGTGCCTCATGCCCAAACTAAAAACCAATATAGAAGTTCAAAATAGAAATGGGGGGATAATTTCTTTTACTTTTATTTTAACTGAATCTGTGGTGTGGGGTGAAAGGATATTTGGTAGAACAACATTTTTGCAACTTTACAGGAGACCTATTTAAAGTCCCACCCTTCAAACCGAAACGCATTGCTGCTTCACGGCAGAAATAGGCAGGGTGGTGGTACCTACCCGCGCAGACTCTCTAGAGGTCCTACCACCAGTAAAAAGCACTGCCCTTGCTAGGGCCAGTGCTAGCAACACTCCCAGTTTGAGCCTCGTGAGCTCACCTACACGTCAAGGAGAAGCTGTTATAGCCTGCGAAGACTATCAGCATAGGTAGGAAAGAAATTGATAGCACATTTTTATCAAATTACTGTAAATGTATCTTTCTATTTAAAAACTATTAAGTAGCTAACAATTTTTCTCAAACTTGTCGACACTGATTCACATACTATGGGATTAAGGGTTGGTGGGAGCAAGCACCAAGCAAGCAAGCGAGGACAAAATTCGTTATAAAGAGGTGGTTCGCAAGAAATCTTCGCAATGTAAAGGTATATTTTACATTGACTCTTATGGACAATAAAAATTTAAGGGGATAACGAAAAATCTGTTAAATAGAAGACGTCGTTATATTGAGGTTCGTTATATGAAGGTTGCACTGTATTATTATATAATCTATATATAACTAACTACTTTCTTCCTTTCAAACTCTCTAGCTACAAATGACCTAGACTCTGCGTTGAGATTGAAAATACGAACTTGTGTCCAATTTCATGTGCCACGACATAAACGCTTTCGAAATGCCTTCCTTCGTTCACGGTGCAACTGCTTGTTACAGTACACATACCAGCCACTGGAGCTAAGCCTGAAAAAAAGGAGATTAATCTGAGGAAACTTGCCTAATTCACCAATTCTCATAGCCCTTAATTAGTCTTGTACACTGTAGTATCAAGTTTAACACACTGAAATTATCACTGGATCTTCTCTGTATTCCTATCTGGTGGTAAGTAGTCTAGTGGTTTTATAGAGGCCAGCTTTGGGTGCAGTATTTATTATCTCTCTGTGAGCTTTGGATCCAAAGTACCACCTTTAGGTGCCTTATGGTTGCAGAATGATTTTTTTTTTTATACAACGTGTTTCAATATTCTCTTATTTGAACATTCATATTTGAAACATGTGTTTCGGCTTATTTTTTAAAAAAGAATTATTAAAAATTATTAGATAATGTTTTTTACTCACCAACGACTTGACTGCTAACTTTTCCATTTTTATTTACAACATACAAATCCAGACCGGTCAGTATCAAAGCATGGTCCCAATGCAGCGGATCGTTGTCTCCAGGTGGGTTTTCCAATCGTTGCCATGTGCAGAAATTACTTAAAAACCTATCTATATCGTGTGGTCTTTTCAAATTTGCAGGATCTTCATGTAATATTTCGAGTCTTTTCAGTATAAAATTGACCGGCCTTCCTAGAGATGGGTCATGGTATAACAATTGGACTGCATTTATCATAGCTAAAACAAATCTAACCAATTCTCTTTCTGTGTCTTTAGGAAAATTCAATGTCATATGTTTGTATAAGTCCCTATCTACAAATACGGCTGTTTCGACAAAAATCGCAGGTTGAATTGCCCGTTTCTCTCTTATCGATTGCGTCGCTAGTTTCTCAATGAACTTTCCTATTGTCCTATTTCTGTGAGCTAAATTCAGTTTGAATTCTTTTAATCTTGTATTATCCGGTTTATTTTCAGTTATAATATCCCTTTTCCTTCTGTGCTTGGTCCATAATTTTTGATCTACCAAAGTTGTATTTTTTTTATCTTTCTCTACACATGAAACGTTTTCTTCTAAGTGGTTATTGGTATCGACCATACGTCTTTTGATTATAATATGTGCTTTTGTATCATCCGTATGGAACCTTTCTGGTAACGGATGTATTAAATAGTAACTATCATTAGATTTGACTACGCCTCTCTGAAAAAATAGGTTTTAATTATTCGTACCACTGCCAATAAATTAAGATCATTGCAATCGGAGATTGGCCGTATAACGCTCTGCTTCTGATTTGTTCTGATAAACATATGCACGTACCACGTATTGTATTCACGAATGCATTTTTTTTCTACCTATGCTGATAGCCTTGAGAGGCTATTTCAGGTTCTCGTTGACGTGTAGGTGAGCTCACGGGGCTCCAACCGGAGTGTTGCTAACACTGGCCCTAACCAGGGCAGTGCTTCGCAGAATCTACCACCGGATCGGAAACACGACCCTCTGAGAAGATCCGGCGAGAAACTCAGTGGGCTATGTCTATGGGTCACGAATGCTCAGGGCTAGTAACTAAATAGCACTGTATACAGAAGTCAAAGATTTATTTAAGCATTTACCTCATTTGTTCTTGAACCTAGTTATTTATCGCACTATTTAAATTTAAAAGTACATCTAATAACTCACAATATTTTCACAAATAAACAAAGCAGCGTTATCGCTACCGTAGTAACACATGTCCAACTCATCGTCAGCATGCGCGTCAACGACTAGATCAGTATTGTTCGACCATCTTCGCAGCATGAGGAAGTGCGGGTCTAGGAAACTGTTTCTGAGCTTAAGCTTAATATCTAAATGCCCTTTCAAATCGGCAATGCTTTTGTCGTTATTACCGAGTGACCTTTTGTATCGACGTGGTCGGCTTAAATGCGCAACTTCGAAATGTGCTTCTGTAAAAAACCAAAAAATGATCTCAATTTGCATAGGTACATGAAAAAGCTCACAGCTTAACTAGTAATTACATGAATACTGGAGTCTATAGAAGATATTGCAGTCTGATTGCTACCTTGAGTATGGTATAACGGCTCCAAAAATAGTGTAAAAAAATATAGGTACCTATAGTTTAAAAGCGGTACTATAAAGAATTACTACTGGTAGGACCTCTTGTGAGTTCGCACGGGTACTGCCACCCCGCCTATTTCTGTCGTGAAGCAGTAATGCGTTTCGGTTTGAAGGGTGGGGCAGCCGTTGTAATTATACTGAGACCTTAGAACTTATATCTCAAGGTAGGGTTGCACATTTACGTTGTAGATGTCTATGGGCTCCAATAACCGCTAAACACTAAGTATGCTATGAGCTCGTCCATGCATCTATGCATTAAAAAAAAATGCGTTTATATTTCGTGTTTCATTGACCCATTAGCTATATGGAAGACTATCATGAAATTAATTGCAACTAAGGTATTGTTATAAGCCTGACCGTTATTATTGCGTACGCTGAATTAAATTAAAGCCATTACATAATTAGTGCGTTATGCGACTTCAAATAAGTTATTGTGTAATGGTAATTCGATTAAAATTAAATTCTTAAAATAATTGCAAGTGAATCTAAAACAATTATTTTAGATGTTATCACTATTGATATCGAAATTAAATCAAATAATAATATAAAATCAGTTTTAAGGATCTAATTAATTTAAAAAAAAACTTTTTTATTTTAGATTTTTATATATAAAATAAATAAGTTATAATAAATAAATATATATTTACTAACGATCACGCCACGTTAACTGGTCCCGTGCTAAGTTCGTGAAGAACTTGTGTTACAGGTACCAGATAACGGAAATCAATGTAAGATTTTTATTATACACTTACATATATATAATATACATCCATAGCCCTGGAAAAGACATTTTACATTTATCATACAAATATCTTCCCTTGGCGGGATTCGAACCCGCGACCCCCTTGTGTAGTGACCATGTCACTTACCACTACACCAGACAGCCGAAACCGTAAAAACAAGTTTTAATTATGTCTGGTGAATCGTGTAACCCGAAGAAAATACTTTAAAAATTCTAGTGAGCGTAATTTAAAAAAAAAAAGATTTTATAGCTAATAAACAATCATAATTACCATGTGGTCGACTTCCTAGTAAAAAGGTCTTCTCGGCTTCTGTCAAATATTTTAAGAGTTCTTTTGAATAGATCTGAAACGAAAGAAGAACCTTCGATCAATTTGATTAATGATTTTCATTGAACCTTTTTTACTGCTTAGATCAACGGACGAGCTCACGGCCCAGCTGGTGTTAAGTTGTTACTAGCGCCCATAAAGGTCAACACCATAAATGGAGTCATCTGACTGGAGACGAGTTCTAAATCTCAGTTTTATAATTCACGGCTTCCAAGCCCTTCAAACTGAAACGCATTATTGATTCAGGGCAGTAATAGTGTGTGCGCTCCCAAGACCCCTGTTAACGCCTAATAAATTCTAATGAGCAATGTTAATTTTTTTATTTATGTTTACCTACACCATTACACTTTAAGTAATCGCCGGGCCAAGCTAACTTGTAAAATAGCTAATCGATAAATATTTTTCTAATTGCGTAATTTTAAAGGGAAAGTGCAAGAAGTCGTCGGTAACGCTAGGATCTCCGAATACACAATAGGAGTCGTCACGGGTGGACTGTTTATTGCGTTATTATAATAAGTGCAAACGTTGCGAACGAACCTTTCCCAATTCAAATCTAGATTATCTGTAACCGATAAGGCAAATCGATCTTGATTAGTGCAACCTCGTAATAAAAGTATAGTAGAGAAACTTAGTTAGGAATTTGGTGAATTTAACACAAACTAGAGGTCCCGCAGTAGTCGAAATTCGACTATAATTAATTGGAATTGTAAGTTTGTACACTATTATGATTGTATTTTATACTTCTTTAATCACAAATTTCTCCAAGGCTACACTATAAAAAAAAATTAATAAAGACAAACAATATTTAATCTATTCTCAATTTGACCACAGACGTCAAGAACAAAAGTTTGACAATAAATAGTGTGCATGCGTGTGTGCATTAAATACATGGTATGTAGTGTGTGTAATGTTTTCTTTATTGATTTAATGTATCTTTTATGCATTATTTTAAAAAAATATTTGCATTGTGCACTTCTTCTCTATATTCTCTATAAGTGTAGAAAATTTCATACTCCTCCGTCCGCGCAATTTTCGTAAAAAGGGATACAAAGTTTTTGCTTCACGTATTAATATATAGATTTACCATTTAATGATTGGGATTATGACATTAGACACAAACTAGCTACACTAGTTTAATGAATACAAAAATATCTCCGATGAGACTCAACTGTTAGTTTCAGTTCTTGAAGCTTGTAGTTACAAATTTATTATTGCAAATAAATACATATAAGTTATTGCCCTTGAAGGCAGATAATCATATGACCAACTTGATGGTGACTAGTCACCGTCGCTCATGGACTTCAGCAATGCCAGGAGCAGAGCCAAGCCGCTTCCTACCTAAGCTGATAGCCTTGAGAGGCTATGTCAGCGTAACCGGGCGGCTGCTGCCTACCGTTAAGTACTCTCCACAAGCCTCGTTTGAAGAAGGAAATGTTATAGGGCTCGGGAAACACCGTTAACAGCTTAGACGTATTCACGAAATACTTCCGCATTACAAAAATCAAGTCGAGCAGACCACCAAAATTTGTGTTTTGAAGACTGTCTAATCAATACGCCATAAGCCATACGTCACCATCAGCACTAAACGAGTAGGTACCTACTTCCTGGGATTGTTGTTTATTTTACTTTCGATTAATCAGAGGTTCGTGCGAAAACAAGCTATTGTCAAATTAATGCCGAGGTCGCTTCTCATAATCCAATGACGGACAAAAACAATAGTTTCATTCGGATATATTCAAGGCCATTGTAAGCTTTCCTTTAGAAAAGCATTTCGTCGGGAAGAATAAATCTCAGATTCGAAACCTTTCTCGATTTCTCTTAGAATTTTACAATTTTTTTTATTTACTTGCTATTAATGAACTTCAGTGTCATAATATAAAAAAACAATAACGTAATGTTAACACTTTTTTTGTGATGGAATGATTACTGGTGGCCCGGAGGCCTTTCCAGTTTCACCAGGACAGGTGGGCGAGCAAAGGCTCAGCCAGGAGGGGTGGGATTTGCTAACGACTGCCCGAGCGCCTCCGAAGGAGACCTAACAACTCAAGAGCAATTGCTTCGCGAATGAATACTACCGGATCGGAATCGCGACCCACTGGGAAGATCCGGCGAGAAACTCAGCATGGGTTAGGTTGCACGTCGACCTCTTTGTCGAGTTCGACGAGTACGCTTACCGGGGTTCCTCAACCTGCTCCTAGTGTTAGAGCTGAAGGTATCTTGCATTATTATTGTTTGTTTTTATTTTTAGTCATTCTGATAAATTGTAATTTTAATTTTATTGTATTTTGATTAAGATGTTATGTAATTGTATGTGACATTTTATGGGCTTAAGTTGCCTGAAAAACGCATTTCATTTCATTTCATTAGAGTTATTGGATCTGATGGATTCGTAAGGACGTGTCGTGTTAACACTACAAACTAAAAAGTGCTTTTGAATCTTGAAGTGTCCGTAAGGAGTGGTCGAATTTCGATTACTGTACGAACACATAAAAATCATAAAGCGGGGTTAAAGAAAATCATGTTCAAGACTAACTAAAGACTTAAGATTCGTGAACAAAACGCCGTATACTAGTATTGAGATAACCGATCTTAATACCCAGCCTTTGTTCGATGTGTTTACAACAATTAAAACATCAGGGAGACGATGCGAAACGAAAAATGCAACATCTTTATCGCCTTTAGGAAACGAATACAAAAGAACTCGCAAAAAAAAATATCCTGAGATTATAGACTAGACATGACCTGCGGTTTCATGGGCTTTATTTTTTTGTAAGTAACGTTCAGAGAATTTTCCGGTTATAGTAAAGAGTTGCTAATGTAACTCTCTGGTCGATAACAGATAGCCCACAGCTGATATGTTACTTGTCATTTGCCATGATAAAAAAAATATCCTATGCCGATACAACTTAAAATTTATTTTTGTTCAAAGCTCCATCAAAATCCTTCCGATATTTTTCACATTAAAGGGAAACAATTATCAATCTATCCTAGCAAACTTTGGCATTTATAATGTTAGTGCAATTTTATTTAGATCCAACTTCAAACATATGTATATGCTATGTGTTAGAGTAGAATATAGAAACGCCAGTGTCGTTTACAAATAACCTGGACTCCGAGAATGCAAGCCGTATTCCGTAGTGCACAATACTATGCAAGATAGATATAAGTAATCCGTTTTAAATCATTTTATTTTTTGTATCAACTCAGGGTAATGCAGAGAATGTGTGCGTGCTAGAATGATGATCACCGACCACGATCATCGGTCATGATCGACACGACTAAGAAGAATGAACACATGAGAGTGATGCCTATTCCATGTTATCAATAATAACTCCTTATATTGCTATAGACACCCTTTATGACCACTCTATACAGCGTGCGGTAAATACAACGGCAATCAATATGCGACCGAAACATTTCAGATATAAAAAGTCTTGTGTTGACTGCGGGAACACACCTAGTCTGACCCTGAGCGGGGATCAGATGTTGGGTGAGAGAGCGCTAAGAGAGTCGTTTGGCGGGTAGAGTTCTAAAAACATCCTTCGGCCCGCGTTCTGCTCCCAACATCTGCAGACTGTCAATTCCCACATACTCTCTGAGCTCAGAAGGTACGGCCCCTGTCCGAAAAAAAAAGTACAAACACTCATTTGCAAACGAACTGAAGTGAAACTTTCCGCAGCTAAATATAACTAAAATTAAGAATACACTTAACTAAAAATATTAATGAAATATCTAAAGCGTATTGCTGTAGCTATGTGTAAATACATACTATTTTAGTAACTATATATTATAACTCGCATAAAACCGCTTCTTTATGTTAAATTAATTTAGAGTTATTCAATGAAAGTAATGTTGTAAACACGGCACAAACAATAAATCTCAACACGGACGGGCCGTGAACTCTACACACAATTAAAATTATTATATTTTTTACGACATTTAGATAATGCATACATAATTTTTGTCGATTCCGGGTAACGTATTGTCTTCATAACGATGGTAAACGAAGGAAGTTGAAAAAAGTGAGATCATTGATAGCGAAACAAAATTTATTTGGAGGTCTTTAGACAATCCTACACAAATATGGCGTATCCCAATTAAGCTTAGTTCATTTGCTATACAATAAATCGATTTTACAATTTTAAAAACCTAAAATTTTACTCACGTCTTACATTAATTGGTTTTAATATTAAACAAGCTCAAGCAACAGTAAGCGTCTTAATGAAAAGAGATACTAAAAATTATTACAATTGTGAAGCCTAAAATGGTGTTTTATCAAACAAAATGAACGTTATTTCAACCTATGCTTCAGACACGTAAGTATTTGGGTCAAACCAAGCCCGTTCCATAGTATATATTAGGCTCTAAATCTATTGCTGTCTCGAAACTATATTTTAAAACATTACGCGAAATACCAATTTAATTGAAGTAAAGCTTTAAAGCAATTTCGTAAGAATTCATTTCATATACCACAGTAAATGCTATAAAAATACAAATATATTCCCGCTGTTCTTTACTGAGTAATTTATTTTTTTACCTAAATCATATATAAAACGTGTGCGAGCACTAGTAGCAATGGATAAACAAGCTAATGACCCTTGTTATCATGTCCGGCGAATAATTTTGTAAGCCTAGCAGAAATCTAAATAAAGATAATTTAGCTTTCTGTGTTAGCAACACTGGGACAATGCTACAAGATATGAAATGGAATTTAGTATTAAATCAAGATTTTTTCCTAGTGATATATATACATATAATAGAAAATAATCGGGGTAGATATTTATAAAACTTTAAAAAAAACCTAACCGAACCGTGGGCGATGCGACTTGCCTTGGGTAATATTGATGATCGAACCCCGAAACTTTAGGAAGACGACAAATTCTGTAAAGAATGCTTTTCTGCATCGTTCTTCTTAATATCTTATAAAGGCAAAATCAAACCGGCCACGCGAAATTAACCCTTAACACATTAAGAATACAAAAGCATGCACTTGCTAAAGTGCTCTAGATCTAACAG